GCATCTTTTTAAGCAGAATTGATACTTAAAATCTGTCTGCTACCAACGCTACTTTATTACAAGAGTACCTTACTAATCCAGGGACAATCATTTAAAATAATTATCATTTAAAAATTAATTTAAAGATAATATAATAATGTTGTGTAGGCTTTAATACTATAGACACAGCCAGTTTTACTCACTGAAAGATTTATTAATTATAAAATGATTACTTCATAATTGTATTAAGAGTCTTACACACATGCTATACAGTTAATCTGAGTCAGGCATTAATTTGAGTGCTGACAGATATTATGGGAGGGGCTTGATGGAGCGCAGGAGATGCAAATAACATGATCTTGACCCTTAAGAAACTTTAATTAATGCTGTCAAGTTACAAATCTGTTCAAATATAAAATTATATGAATTGCTAATTACTACATTGAAATAAAAATGTAAAGCCTGTACAAATATTAGAAATCGTGAATGTAAAAAAAAAAATTTCACATTGCACATTTCATTTATCTATTATAACATTTATGTAGTTTTGTTCGCTTGCCTGTTTCCTTATAAAAGTCCAGAAATTTGTCAAGTCCTTCGTCAGGTGTCTTTAATTATATGATGACTTTACGTTGCTGTCTTGCTGCCAGCCAATTGCTGCATTGCTGATCGTGGTTTCGAGTATCGATACATAACCCCTTTTAAACCAACCAATGAATGCGCAATTATCTCCGATAACTCAATCCAGCCATATTAATCATCAACAACAGCTGTGTTCGAAGAACCGAATTAGCCAGATCCTGATTAGCGCGATGATATCATCTTGGATGTGACATTTCATCTCAGATGTAATAAGCGACGTACGAAGAACGGGTCCTTGGATTCGTCCAGAAGACTCCGCAACCCCAGCTGCTCTCTAACAACTTCTCTTTCTCTCACACACCCCCGGTCAGGTTGGCCGGGGTGGGGGCACTGGTATGCTCATTTCTAACTATTGGAAATACTCAACCCAATCATTTCATTCACAATCATTTGAATCTCATTGGATCACTGTAACAGCTCCTGTAAAACTCCAGGTTGTGGTAATTTACCGGCCTCCTGGGCAAATTCTAGCCACCTTCCTAGAAGAGCTGGATGGGCTGCTTTCCTCATTCCTGGAGGATGGCAGTCCACTTTTAGTCTTTGGCGACTTCAACATTCATCTGGACAAGCCTTATGCTACAGACTTCCATTCACTCCTTGCTTCATTTGATCTCAAACGACTTACCACCACAAGCACGCACAAATCAGGCAACCAGCCTTGATGATCCAACAGTAGCTGCACGGATCTCAGGCTGCCTGGCGGGCATCTCGGCATGGATGAAAGAATATCACCTACAGCTCAACCTGGCAAAGACTGAGCTTCTTGTCTTCCCTGCCACTCCAACTCTAAAAAAAAGTGTTTCCCCTGCCATTATTTAAGGGGGGCGGCCCGCCCCCCCAACGGCACCCCCTGCCCCCCTTAAAGGTCAAGTTAATTTTATTTTCTCTATAGTGCCAGATCACAACAGAAGTCATTTAAAGATACCTTTCATATAGAACAAGTCTATACCTCGTTCTTTTATTAAACAAAACTAAATAGCCTTATGTTATTTATCTTATTTATACGAGGGCATGTCATTTATGTCTCTACGTTACATGGTCGCGCTCTCTGCATCACGCACAGCGGAGTTCCGCCCCGATGCGCGCGCTCACGCACGCACGCACACACACACACAAACGTGCGCACTGTAAATGACCATTAAATCCCCAATTCATTGAAGTGGGTCGACA